TTTTTTTGGTTTTTCTCCGGTACCGGGAACCGAACTCATGACCTTGCGCTTGCCAGGCAGACGCTTTGCCGCTGAGCTAAATCCCCAGCCCCAAGAAATACTTTCTTAATCCAACAAACTATCTTCACCTACATTTTATTTAGAATTTACTTTTACAATCATTTCACATACAGTTTTGTGATATACTTTTAATTGATTAATGTGTCTGGTGTAGGGTAAAAATTAAGATTTATTTTTTCTCATATATAAATCTATTTTCTCCAGCAGTGTGTGTAGAAATACCTCCCATTTGATTGTGATAGCAATTTTTAAAAAGTCATGTACTACACTTTGTGTGTCCTATTTCTTGAGTCACTATTATCCTCTATTGATCTTTTTATATCTATTTATAAAGACAGTAAAAAGAATAATGGCTGCTAGGTTGGGAGAGAAATGTGAAAATGAAGAATTATTATTATTTCAGTTTTACAAGATGAAAGAGCTCTGGATATACGTGATGGCGATGGTTGTACGGCAATGCAAATGAATCTGATTCCACTGAAATATACTCTTACAATGATTACGATGGCAGTTTTTCATTTTCTGTATTTTACTATAAAATGTGGTATTATAAAAATAAAAGATTTGCAAAAAATTGAAACTAGAAGTCAATAACCTATAACATGAAAGAAAATTCTTTCCAAGTTAACTGTTTTACATTTCAATGTCTGAGTTTCATATTTAGAGGATAATTTTGTGTCTTGCTATATACATTTATTTCTCCCTAAGCCATGGATTTTTCTTAGACATTAAAATATACAAAACTGAATAAATAAGTGGATTGTAATTGTTTTCATGGGGGGTATTTTATAGTTAAAATTTTTGTTTTCCTAACATAAATTATAAATCAATATTAAAATGGCAAAAATCTTACACTAGATCCTTCGTTTCTACGGGTTCTATGGGTTCTGCACCAACAGATTCAACTAAGTGGGTATCTGAAGTGTTTTTTAAAAACACATATTTAGACTTTTTTCTTTTCAGATTTAATAAACAATACACCTATTTACATAACATTGATGCTGCATCAGGAATTAGGCATACTGTGCAGATGATTTAAAGTATGTAGGAATATGTTGGTAGGCCTAAGCAAATACTACGTATACCACCATATTCTGTAAGAGACTTGAAAAAGCACCAATTTTACAACCTACATGGCGTTCCCAGAACCATTCCTTATGTATACATTTATATGTGGCATTTTATTTGAACTTGTGTCGGGTCTAAGAGTTAAACTTCATTATAATACAAGAATTAACTTTCAATTTGTTTTCATATTTGTGATTTTGACCTGAGACTGAAAAAGTAAAGCTCAAATCTTAGACATAGTTAAAACTAAATGCAGTCTGGATTTATTTTTTCTGTTTTCCTTAAGTACAGTAGTTTAGTTGTTGTCCTAGAAAGGTATGACATGGTAGAACCGTTTTGCCAATAGGTCCCCCCAACAAATTCCTAAAGGAGAATGTGTGCTTTATGAAACCTTGTCTTAACCTGAACGCCCTTTAAAAGTCTAACTTCTGTAAATTAAGCCTACGTGCCCAGTGGTGCGGGCTACAGAGCGCTCCTGCACCTACAGCTGAGAGGATCAGGCGCCTCCAAAGTTGAGGAAAGTGGGCGGGGCCTGCACAGAGCTCCGCTCCGCCCCTCCCGCCACGAGCTGTGGACCAACCGCCGGGGCCAGAGCCGCCTGGGTGGCCAGGCCAGTGCCACGCCATGCTGACTCTCCTGCTGATCCTCTCGGGCCTGGGCCGTCTGGCCGCCTCCTTCAGCTCGCGTAAGGAGGATACTGAGCACTGGAGGCGCCGCCCCTGCCGGCTGTGCGGCCTCGGGCGCGGCGGGCGACCTGGGCGGGATGCGGATTGGGCTCCGACAGCTCCTACGGGACCCGGGTCTGCCCGCCGCCCCGCCCCGCGGAAAGAAAGGCGCCCCCGGGCGGCGCAGCCCGCTACACTCTCGGCCCACGCCGCAGCCAGCAACGCGGGGTCCTCGCCCCAGAGCCGCCCGGAGCCGAAGCGCGCGCGGGATGCAGGGGCTTGGAGGAGTGAGGAGGAGCAGAGGTGCGGGACGGGTGGAGACCGAGGACGCCGCCCACGGGGAAGCTCACGGGTGTTTCCTCGCTGCAGATTCTGAAAAACTGCAAATGACGGTGCCAGACAGGGTGGTGAGTGATGAGGATTTCGACGCGCAGGCAGAGCAGGTACTGTCAAGAATATAAGCGACCTCCTGTCTACTGCAGCTTGTGGCTCAAGGTGTAGATCCCTTTGCTTATTCTGTGTTCTAATTTACTGCGTGAAAGAACTTTTTTCTTTGAGTGACAGCAAGAGTTTGATTTTTAAAAATTTCTCAAGTAATATATGAGTGTTATGAACATATTTTAAAACACAAACTCAAAAAGAAAATCCCTACAGCCCCTATCTCACAAATAGCATAGAGAGTTTACTGGACTGTTCTCGAAAATATTTGCATCTATGTATGTGTTCTGTGAGGTCATACTATTTGTCTTATAACATGATTTTAAAATAGCAATATATAAAAAATATCATCATGCTTATATATGCATATATATGTGCCATAAATCTTTTGTAAATCTAATGACATTTTAATCAAATTAGTAAAGCACGTGCATTGTGAAATTAGATTTAGACTACAGAATGATATGAAAAAAGTGAATATCTGAAAAAAGTGAATAGGCTGTTTTTAAAGATAGTAAATTTGAATGAAATGAATAGTTAATGATATACAAACACATACACACATATTTTAATCATATAAGAGTGTTATTGACTTTTATTTATAAAATTAAGATTTACTTTTGTCACTAATATGGCTTTATTTTTCGTAACCACATCGAATCTCATAGATGCAACAATATGTACTTTATTAAGTTTTTAGCATATGTTTTCATAAACTTTGGAAAATTATCTCCTTAGGGTCAACAGGCAAAGCATTATTTTTTCACAAATATTGCAAAATGTTCTCCAGAAAAATTGTATTGTTTGGCAGTCATTATCAGAGAATGATGATACATATTTTCCTGCACCTGCAACAGGCTTAGTTCAGTCTTCTTGGTCTATGCTGACTTGAGCATCAGAATGAATATCTCACTTTAGCCCATGTTCTTATTAAGCTTGAAGATATACATACTTTTAGCAATATTGATTACTTGACTTACATTTCTTTCTAATTTCTTACTTTGAAATCTCTAATAAATAGAGATATTTCTTATAAATAAGAAATAACACTTAGGATTAGAGCATTTTGCTTTCCAGAAGGGGAAGGATTGATGAAAAGGCAGAGATCTGATCCGATCTAAGAACTGGAACCTCCATAGGAGGTCTAAAAGAAACATGGCATTGCCAAATGAAAAACTTACACCTTGCAGCAAATTTCAGGGTCTGGGTATTCTCTGACTTACTTTCTGCTACCAAAAAAATCAGCGATTACACATGTAAAACGTGTTACACCAAAAATATAAATATATGTTACATATTGAAAGATTTTTACTTTCTTTTTTTTTTTTTTTTTTTTTTGTTTTTCTCCGGTACCGGGAACCGAACTCACGACCTTGCGCTTGCCAGGCAGGCGCTTTTGCCGCTGAGCTAAATCCCCAGCCCCGGATTTTTACTTTCTACATTGAAATAAAGTCATGATGTCATTGAACATAAAAAAAATATATTCCAGGGGGGTCAAAATGTTTAGGAGAGTGTATCATACTCTGAGGAAAATGGTACCCAAAAGAAAATATGATTAACCATAATAATACCAACAAGCACACACACATACACACACACAACACACACACACACACATCCCATCATGAGGGGTAACCATCATTACTTAATGATAGAATATTCAGTTTACTAGGGACATACAACAATTTTTAAATTGTAGGAATGTCATAAAATGCCCTCAGCATATATAAAATGAAAACTAGCATTAGAGAAACTATCAATACATTTTTGTAGCTCATAAGTATGTTTATTCAAATGCTGGTTGGCACCAATAACAGAATATTTATGAAGAAAAGTTACACAAGTTGAGCAATTTATTCAAGGGACATTGATTAGAAAGTCAACATATTTAAGTGAACATACTGTTTGCCCCAGGTCTGGTATTTGTGAGGATGATGAAGTACACCACAGAGTACTTCACTGTAATGGTTAATAGATACATTGTGTCAATTTGAGAAGTCTGGCAATTTAACTAACTGACTCAGCAGGGGGTCACAGGCCTCATTTTGTAAACATCCTTATCCTGTGCAAGAGAAGGGCACGCAAATGGTATGAGTGCTACACCTAACCCAAAGCGAGGAAAGTCTGCTTACTATATGAGAGGAAAAGAGACTGTCTCCCCCCTCCTTTTTGCTCTTGCTACTCTTGCTGTCTTCTGCCACCTTGAACTGTTGCCCCTCTGTCATGCACCCCTGCCTTGGAGCCAATGGATTATAGACTGAAACCTCCATAAACTGTGAGCTAAGTAAACCATTCCTTCCTTAATTTGGGGTGTCAGGTATTTTGTCCCAGCAATGAGAGAAAAGTACCAAGACAGTCATTCTTGAGGTTATTTATAATGGACAGTCATTCTTGAGGTTATTTATAACCATTATTACTTATAATGGTTATATATAATTTTACACATACAGTGTAACGAGAAAGAGAACGTACTCAAGAATCAGGACTCAAAGAAACATCTTTGGTAAACTCCCCTAAGTTCAATCTCCATGCTACTACAACATGTTGGGTCTCTGGCTTATATCAGCAAGAGCTGTGAAGAAGAATCTGGCTTTGGGAGACTAAGCAAAATTGTCAGTGATTGTCAAGCTAGCCCTGTCAGCGTAGCTACACAGCCACTAAAAGAGCTAACTTTGCCCAGAGGAATTTGAACCCTATAGAACATATTATAAATCTTATTATTGCTGTTTTAGCCAAGAATCAGAAACAACCAGACTTGTAAACATCCCCATAAATTAAAAAATAGCACTTTTCCAATCATGCTGTAATTGTATTCAAGCTCCACAGGAAATAACATACTTTGTTCTCAAAAATATGCAGAACATTCAACAAAACTGACCATAGTAGAAAAAAATCAAATACTTACAGTACATAATTCTTTAGTACGTAGTAATTCAGTTAACTGAAAACAGGTTAAGGAAGTCTTAAATTATTATGGGTGTTAGCTAATAAACATTGAACAAAATAAGGAATGTTTATACAACATTGCATCCTCACTGAAATAACTTACAACAAATGTTACTTAACAAGTTAAAAAGTCTGAAAATTTTTCAGCTTATTAAGAAATTAGATAAATAATTATAACTTTAAAAGTTTTAAAGGTGCTTCTAGAATTAAAAACTACAATTAATGAAAAAAAGAGCTACAATAATATCAAAAGTTGATTTCTGAAAAGAATATGAGATTAATTGTGGAGAGATGAAGGAAAATAAATAGGTGAAGAAAAACCTAGTCTTAGATATCACAAAATAGGTACAAATAGATTACAAAAGTAGACATAACAATAAAAAGTTATGCTATTACATTCTAATTTAAATAATATTCATAAAATATAACTTACAAAAGCAGACATAATATAACTAATATTAATACTCATAACCTGGTGACAGAATAAAACTTTTCTAAAATCCTACCTTCCTCTATTCTAGGCTGTGCTAGCTTTTAAAAAGCAGTGTGTTTGATTTTAAATTACTCAAATGTAAATAAACTTCTTTTGTATCTAAACCACTGTGTGCCCACTCTGATCAGACACTTAAGATAGTAACTTGTGCCTTTTGCAACCTGAATCAGTTTTACTTGTCTGCAGTCACGAGCTTCATCTGAAAGATTGTACAGTAATATTTTTGTGTGTCTTCTTTTATTTAATCTAGTGCATTAAAATAGTCAATCTTGCTATTTCTGATATCTATTCATGTATTTTATAGTGTTCAGTACCCTAAGAATTGGATTGAAGTGTTGATGGACAACGTTTCTAGTTTTTAACCATTACATATAAATCTGCTTTACAGAAACAAGTGTTCTGTTGATATATGTTTTAAGGAGTGAAATTTTAGTTTAGAGTTGAAATGGGTATACTGTTGTATATTTCTAGGAATACATTTTTAGCAATGTATGAGAGTTTTATAAAATAAAAAATAAAGTATATTTTTAGCAATGTATGAGAGTTTTAGTTGTTCTGTAGCCTTTCTAATACAGTGTTCTCTCCAACTTTCTTTTTGTTTTTCCTTTTGTCAGTTTATGAAATTTTAATAAACAGTTATTAACTATAGTGTTAAGTGAAATAAGCCAAGGCCATAAAGACAAATGCTGCATGATTTCCACCATATGTGGATTCTTACTATGCTCATAGAAGAGGGGCTGGGGATTTAGCTCAGCAGCACAGCACCTGCCTGGCAAGCGCAAGGTCATGAGTTCAATTCCCGGTACTGGAAGAAAAAACAAAAACAAAAGACAAAAACTATGCTCATAGAAGAGACCAGAATAACAGTGACCAGAGACCACAGAGAGGAGAAAAGGACATAGAAAGAAACTGGTGAAAGATTAAGAAATTTTGAAAAAATAATATAAAATTGTGTTAATTTTATTCTTTTTCTCATTTTTGGTTTATTTGGTATACTACAAGGAATAGTGATTATGTTAACTTCTTCAGTACTTGTAGACAAACTGGATGTGAGTTGCAGTTATCATCTTTCAGCCTAGAAAGTGGGTTTTAATTTTCTTGAAGGTATCATTGCGTGAATAACGGTTTCTAATTTTGTTAGTGTTAATCCGAGTATTTATTTTATGGCTATTTTAGTCTCCTTAAAATTACTTGCCAACACAAGGCCATGGAAATATTCTATTTTTATCTTCCAGAAACTTCGTAATTTTGTTTTGCTATTTATATCTGTGACTATTCCTAGGTGTTTCATGAAGTAAAGTAGGATTCAAGGGTCATTTTATCCATATGGGTATCTTTTGCTTTAACACTACTTAAAAAACTATAATCATTTCTGCATTTATCTAAGTAGGTACCTTTGGAAAAAAGTATTTTTATAGATTTATTTTTAGAACTTCAGTTCTTTCCAAACATATAATTGTTTTTATACAAATAACCCATTATCTTTGTTATCACAGATTTTTACTTTTATCTATCTCTGCTCAGAATAATTTTGAGTATTATAGGTTGTTACCATCCATCTATAAAATTGAACAAATTCTTGCCAAGTTTTACAAAGTTTGCCATAACTTTACATTGCATACAATTCAATTATGTAAGCCCATTTTGATTAAACTGAATCTTACCAATAACAGCCTTTCCAATTCATGAATTTGGCTTATTTTTTCCCTTTATTTTATTTAATATTTTGAGAAGTCCTTTTATGTTGTAAATGGTATTTGTGGTTCATTTTCTAAATATTTCTCATTTTATAAAAATTAGGTAGGTTTTTGTTTAACTGTATATATGTCTTGTGAATAATAAATTATCACTATCATTTTCTACAGTTTCTATTAATTATTTTCTACTGTTTTGTTTGAGTTTTATATGCACTTCATTCTTATTATTTGCAAGTAAGTGTAATTTTTTTCTTATTTGTAAGCTGCTTGTTGTAGTGACCAGGAACTCCACCCTCTAATAGTTCATCTAGTTTATCCATGTTTTATTTTGTTTTGTTTTCTGTTTATTTTTGTTTTTACTGTGGGGGAAACTCCAATGTCAAAAATAAGTATGGAAGTTGACTAATAGTATTCTTTTGTTTTTACTGAATGGGAAAAATCAATACTTAAAAAAAATCAATATAAATTTGCCTGTTAAGTGTCACAAATAAATTTTATTAGTTTATGAAAGCTTTTTTATTTCCAGACACTGTTTACGTGTGTTTGTGTATACATGTATTTTATTCCATGGCTATAATAGATCAACATTTTATTCCTGGAACAAGCCCACTTTGATATCACATATTCATATTTCTTTGATTTAATTAGCTAATATTTTGTTGGGTTTTGAAATTATGATAATGAGAATTATGCTATACTATCTAGATTATGCTGCTGCTTCAAATTACTTGGGAAGTACACTGACTTTCTATATTTCTTGGTTATTTGTAAAATGACCATCTTTACTTCATTATAAATCACCCTCGAAGCCCTGTGGAGCTGAATGATCATTTTGGGGAAAATTTTTTACAAATTCAATTTCTTGGTAGTTGGATTTAAACCTATTTACCATTTACTATATCTTTATACCCTTTCTTTTATATTTTTCAGTTCTTCACATTTTCTTATTCACTATTTATATCTTTCTCATTAATTGGATCTTAGCCCCTTATCTTGGAGGGGCATGGAGAATGATGTTTAGAGTCGACTCTCTGTGTATTGTGTGCTGTGTATGTTTAGAATTAAGTCTCTGTGTTGTGTGTGCTAATTTATGTCACTACTGCAATCAATAAGCCAATCCAGAAAATATGTGTATACACACATATAAAGATGATGTTGGGATGTGCACGGTGTGTGAATGTGTTATTCATAAATGAATATTTATGTTAAAACCATGAATTTGTCTAGTCCTTATTCAAAATTATATGACAGGATAGAAATGTGGGGAAGGAAAATACAATAGGCAAAACACAAATAGAAATTAGGCTTTTATTTCAGTGTAATAAATTTCAGGTATTTTTGAGCCATCACCCGGCTTGATTCAGTCTTATCATCTCTTTAACAAGACAGAGAGGCAAGACAGTATTCAACAGGACAAGGAAGCCAGACATGATAGTATAGTTTGTAATCTCAGCATTATAGGAGACTGAGGCAGGCACATCATAAATTTAAGCCCAGTCTGGACAATTTAGTGATTTAGGGAGATGCTATCTTGGAAATAAAACAAAACATGGGCTAAGGATGTAGTTCAGTGTTAGGGCCCTAGGTTTAATCTCCAGTAGTACATTAAATAAAAGAAAGAGATAAAGACTCAGTTACTAGCACTTCTGGGGCTAAACGTTAAGTCCTTTCATTTTAAAAGCAGAACTGTGCTTTATTGTTTGACTTTCACTACATTTGTACTTCGAACTACAAAGAAGAAAAGATAATATTTAAATTTCTTCAGTGACTACTCAGTATTTCTAAATGTAACCTTCATCGTAAAATGAAATCTCATGTTGCGTAATAAGCATTAATGACTTATACTCAATTCTGAAGTAGACTCTGATTTGGTTTAAATTTAATTATAATTATTTTATACATCCAGGACTGAGGAAAGCTAGAAATATATATGGATATAATTTCAAGACATGCAAGATATAATCTGTTTCTTGGGTTTTTTGTTTTTTGTTTTTTTTTGTCTTTTTGAGACAAGGTCTTGCTATGCAGTTCAGGCTGGCCTTGAGCTCTCCTTGTAGCCCAGGCTGGTCTCAAACTTGCAAAGATCCTCCTGCCTCAACCTCCCAAGTGCTGGGATTGGGCTGGGGATATAGCTCAGTAGTACAAAGGCCTGCTTAGCAAGCACAAGGTCCTGAGTTCAATTCCCAGTACCAAAAAATAAAAAATAAAAATAAAACAGACCGAGTGCTGGGATGATAGACATGCACTACCACACCTGGCCTTATAATCTGTTTTTATGTGAACAAGTACATACATTTTTTAAAGTGACAGTTTTTTACTTTGTAGGAGTTGGAATTTCTAATGATTACTTTCTCCCTGAAAATTTCACTGCAGGTCACTTATATCATCGATATCAATAAGAAGAGTTACACTCTCCACCTTAAAAAACAGTAAGTGGTCATTCTTTTCTATACAATAGTTTTTATGGTGTGACAATTTTATAATCAGTATTTTACATTTACATTTCAAGGGTTTTTCAGGTTGCCTTTTTTTTTTCTAGTATGTTTGCAGCACATAACGACTGTATGCCTTCTAGAGAGCTGCTACATGTATATGACACATCTCAATTCTTTTTTCATCCCCTCCCCCTCTTTTCTCTCTCCACTCCCTCCATCTTTTGGTATTTTCTCCTTTAGCAGGAGATCTAGATCTCTTTTATTTTTCTCTTTATATTTGGGGTTTTTCTATGCTAAATTGAGCATAGATATCATATTGATTTCAAATGTTATTTCTTCCTTGTACTCATCATACATTTAAACATGAAGTTCATCTTCAGATTTTAAAAATGAATATTTGAGCCACATTCTATTCAAGAGATGTAAGTACTAATGCATATTTGATAAATGAAAATGACTCTCTAACTCTAAAATATAATCACCAATGGTTAATTATGGAAGTAATTTTGTCAACATTTAATTTTGATTGTCTGTACTTACCATTTTATATATTTATATGCCTTAAAAATTTAACTTGATTTTGCTAAACGATTTTTCTCATTTTGCTACAGTATATACTTTTAATCTATTAATTTTCTCCTATTTTCATCCTCTAAAGAAATCTGTATGAGTTATCTTCTACATATGTTGCCATACTTTAAAATTTCCTTCACATAAAACATGTGCAAACCTATGAAAAATGTGTGGTGTGTTAAGCTAGCAATTCTTATTTAATAATTTATAGTGCCTTTCTTCTATGTGTAATCTTAACTCATTTGTTTGATAGATACCATTCCATACTGTGTAAAACTGGTAAGTAATTAAGTTATTTTAAGGGATTGAAGCAATAAATTTCTGCAATAAATATCTACACAAATTTTCTTATAAGTGCATAAGAAGTCTACAGAGCTTTTGTTTTATAAACTTTCTGGATTAAAGCATAAACTGAGTTAATCTGAACAACCTCTAAAGCAGATTACTTTCTGAAGCAATAATAGCAATTTAGATCTCCCAAAACATGCATGACATGCTAAAATATTTTTGCTCATTTTCACTTCAGTTTGTATATGTCTGAGCTTGGATTTTTGGATTTTCCTGTGTGAGGCTGCCTATTCAGAGTTTATACTTTTTAATTATAGTTTTCCCACTGAATGGTTAAGAAAGCGAAAAAAAATCTCAGAATAATAACATTTATGTTTGTCCAGTGAATGCTACATATGCAAGCATTTTGCTTATATATTTAAAACAAAAAAAAGTATGTGTCTGGTAATCGTGAAATCTCATTATCCCAACTTCCAGATGGATTCACTTCTCTTGTTCCTCACTGCCAATTATAATTACAATATTTCATAAATTCTGTTTTATACTCATTCAGCTATAAATGTTGAGATCTATAAAAAATCATAATGCTTTGAGTCTTACCTTAAATGATATATCAGTCAGTGTTTACTAGACAAACATATAATACAAGATATGCAGATATATAGGAATTTACAAAATTGGCTTACAGTAGCTGCCCACAGAGTCAGATACGAAAGAATGCAGAGGGTCTGTTTGCACACTGGAGACTGAAGGATCCAGTTGAAGATCTGGAACTCACTGCAGCGTCCCATGTGAGTTCTTATCAGGAGGCCTATGGGTCTGTAATAGAAGGTTGAAGTGTCTACACCTGAAGGCTGAAGGATATTTGTGCCGGAAGCTGAAGAGTCTGCACAGGAAGCCAGAAGATGATGTCCAAGGTGAAGGCAAAGACTGCACAGAGGCAAATCCATCCTTCTTCATTTATCATTTATACCTTCCAGGTGACAGGCTGCTCTAGGGTGAGCTTTTCTTATTCAAGTTGACACAATCTATCAGCAATCACAAATGCAATAAATGGTACAATTTTACGTATTCTGTTGAACAATTTATTTATCTTGGGTCACAAAAGTGACTTCAGTTCTTTTACATGTATCATTTCTTGCATACAACCTTGAAGTTCTTGTCCTCAGGAGATAGTATATATACATTTCCCCAACTTAACCTCTTTCAGATTTTGTATTTTCTTCTAGGTTTATATTTTTATTTGTTAGATTTGGGTTCTTTATTTTCAATCTTTGTTTTATCATTTTTTCTTCCTTGTTTTTTCTACCATTACCAATTTCCAGGAGTCTTTACTTGTTCTGTGAATTAAACCTTCCTCTTCTGTATGTCGCAAATGTGGTACTCACTCTATCTTCTGATTTTCTTTGATTTACTGGCATAAAAATAAATTTTCATAGAATCGACTCTCTTCATATTTTATTTTATAAATTCTGAAATTGCTCTAATACTTTCACATCTTGAATTTATATCCAAGTAGTATGTAGTATATTTGATTTCACATTGAAGATATGTAATATTTCTGTAAGTTTCATTACTGAACATTTGTATTGCATTTTCTAAGACATATCAGTATTGTTTCATGGTTTGTTGACACCTCATTTTTTCCATTATATTACAATTCTTTGATGATCCAGGTATTGTATAATTACAATAAATTTATATTTCCTTCAAAATATTTAATGTCATCCTTTCAGAATCTGTGCATATCTACAAATGTCCCTTTTATTGTCATAATAGAGTAACATTTAGGTAATAGAACATGTGTGTCATATTCTTTTTGTATAGTTTTGTAATTTGATGTAGTCTATTTTAAATGAGCTTTTCAATATTTGTTTGGTTGTGCATACGTGTGTGTATGCTACTATAGTTGTGTGTCTTTAATTCTCTCAGATGTAGCCTAATTCCTTATTTCAAGAAAATGAAGAGAATATTTTCTTTATCAACTTCTTAATTTTTTAATTCTATGAGAAGTGTGTTTCCCTAGCTCTTAAGTACCTGCCTTCTCTATTGCATTTTTGTCTGTAACTATTTCAAAATATTCTATGTGCATTTTACCAGTATTTCTACTCTGTATTTGCTTTACCACCATTTCAAATCTTAATAAAGAACTTATCCTGTCATATGTATTGAATAATTTAAGTATAGCTACGATGTCATTAAGTTTTGAGAATATGTTTTAAAATATTAATTGATTGCTTTGGAAAATTAAATTTTATTGAAAACCCATGCTGCTTCATTAGGACTCGATTTTAAAGATTTGGTTTTTTCCTTTGATTATTTTCCTTACATGAGATGTTGCTTCTCTTTGAGTGATCATTTGCATTTTTATTACTTCTCTAAGCCAGACTCTTATTTCACATAGAAAAGTGTATTTTTGAGGGTTAAGGCGAATAAACTTGCAAACTGTGGTGTCATAATTTTAATTATACTTGTCCCAATAGCTGTTAGATTTTTTCTTTATTTTATGAAATAATAAAATATTAGTTTAACATCAAACAATAAGATAATAACAATAGTTACTACAGTATATATCATTATTTTCAAAGTAGTTACTCAAACTAGAAGACATAAACCACAAAGATTCTTACAAGAAAGAAACTCAACATGTTTCTTTTCATGCAAACTGAACATGCAAATCTTTCTTTTCAGTGAAGTAAGGTAAAGTAGTAGTATAAATGAAACCAATTAGCATATATGTTGAAATATTTTTAAAACAGGAATTTGTAATTTGGGGAAGTATCAAACTTGTATTTTTTATTTATCTCTTCTGTTTTGTTTTTTGTTTGTGTTTTTCATAAGAGAAACTATGCAATATTTGGGCTTGTGTGTCTGACTTATTTCACTTAACATTATGTTCTTAAGTTGTGTCCATTAACCAACAAATGCCTCAGTATTATCTTTCTTTATGACAGGACAGTTGTCCATGGTGTATAAATACCGTGTTTTCCTTATCTATTCATCTGTTGATGGAACATTTGGGTTGTTCCCAAGAGTTAGTTATTGCAAATTGTGCTGCTAGAAACACGGGTATGCATATATACCTGTAATATGATAACTTTTAAGTCTTTTGGGAAGATACCTAGAAGAGGGATAGCTGGGTCAAATTGAATTTCTATTTATAGATTTTTGAGGAATCTGTATACTGATTTCCACAATGGTTGCACCAGCCTACACTTCCACCAACCATGTAGAATTCCTTTTTCCCCAGGACCCTACCAGCATTTGTTCTTATTAGATATTTTTTTATGACAATCGTTCTTTCTGAGGTAAGATAGACTGTTAGTGTAGTTTTAATTTGTATTTCTCTGATGGCCAGAGATGATGAGGATTTTTTTCATATATTTATTGGTCATTTGTATATATTCTAAGAAGTGACTATTCATTTCAGATGCCCATCTTTTATTTTGGGTGGTCTTTTTTTTTTTCACTGACATTTTTGATGTTAGTTTTCTGTCCATGAACTAGCTAGCACAACTTTTGGCCCACTGTGTAGACTATCTCTTTTCTATGTCAGTTGTTTCCTTTGCTGTGCAGATGTTTTTAAATTTGATATGATCCTATTTCTCAGAAAATCCTTGCCCATGCTGATACCTGTATGTACCTGGGGTTGTTTCTGCTTCTTCTGTTCTGTTCCATTGATACACATGTGTGTTTTTGTGCCAGTATCATGCTGTTTTAATCAGTGTAGCTCTATAAGATAACTTCAAGTCTGGGATTGTGGTGCTGCCTGCTTTTCTCTTGTTAAACAGAATTGCTTTTTCTATCCTGGGTCTCTTCTGATTCCATGTAAATTTTAGGGTTGTTTTCTCTAGCTCTGTGAAAAATGACATCGACATTTTGATTGAGCTTGCATTAAATCTGTACATCAGTTTTGGAATTCTTTCTGGGGTAAGATGATTATGTTTGTTCTGCCAAACCAGAAATTAGATATTCTCCATTTTCTAATGTCTGCTTCAGTTTCCTTTTTCAGTCTGATGTAATTTTCATTGTTGAGGTCTTCCATGACCTTTGTTAGGTTAATACCTAAGTACTTAAATTTTTGATGCTATAATGAATGGGATTGTTTTCCTCATTTCTTTTTCTGCGAGTTC